GACTTGCAAAAAAACATTTAAAAATTTCTTAAAGAAATGCTTAAATTTAAAAAAACGTCCCTCACGCATTTTACTAAATTCATTCGCATCACTTGAAAAAATTAAAAAAATACACTTCACTTGTGGACAAATCCTGTTTGATTTGACTAAGAGTTTCATTTTTATTTAGCAAAGTGTCTTTTAGACTGTGTAAAATAATGTTTGGGGTCCGATGGGACTGAGGAGGCTGTGCCCCCGACTGGGGCTTACGGGAGCCGCGCCTCCGATTGGGGCTTACGGGGGCTGCGCCCCCGATGGAGCTCGCGGGGGCTTCGCCCCCGACAACGGCTGATATTATTGGGTTTATTTTAATTTTTATACCCATATAATCCTCTATGTTAAAATGAAATTTTATCATCTAGATGATAAAAATTAAATCTTTGACATTAGATTTCATTGTTAAAATTTACATTAACATTTATAAAATAAATAAATAAATTTCGATAAATGTTATTTTTGATAAATGGTCACATTTTAATTGTACTTGTGTAAATACACAAAAATTAGTTAAATAAAAAAAATACATTGATAATTTACCAATTTTTTCACATTTTTTACATTGAATAGTGCGTATTTAAATGTCAGTTATCATGGCAATAAAGCACAGGCTATAGTAGCGCGCTGTGAGATTTCGGTGACCTTGAAAAATGCAGCGGGTATTAATAAAAACAGTTTCGTCCAACAAAATTCTAAATTTCGTTTAATTTATTTTAATAGTGTAATTAAACACTTATTATAATTTCATAATAAACAATTTTAAGGTTATGTTACACATTTTACTATCATAGTAAGCACGTATTAAAAGTTTAGGGGATTCGGTTGGCAATATATGCAATAGTATCAATAATCGCACCAAATAAGCTAATCCAAATCCTTCATAAATACGACGTATCTGTTGTAAAATAGATAATCTGTGGTTTGGAAGAGTGTCCTATCTGCAAGTAATCTGTGTCCATCCGAATAATATAGAATCACGTCATAACTCATAACCTCAAATTAGACATTCTTTATTTGGGGCTCTTAAAGTCCTAAACGACATTTGACGACTTACCATCTTGCTCTTTTATGTTAGCAGATAAGTATAATTTCTATTTTAGATAGGTTCCTTTCGATGGCCCAAAATCCGCGGCTCTCGTTTCTCACCTGACAGGTAACCTCAAATTTTTTGAAATTGGCAAAATTTCGTTTATATGGGGGCTTTCGAGTCTTGAACAATGTTTCACACACCACCACCTACCAATTTTAAATAGAATATTATGCATTTTTGTCGAAAATTGTATCGCCGTCTCAGTCCACTACTACCCCTCCACTGGCCACACTTGGACCCACACAATTTATTAAAAATTCCATCGGCACTTACCAAAAAAAAAAAAATAGACACTGCACATCCAACTTGATCACTTTTAAATAAATCACAACCGATTACAAAAGGATTTCGAGCACTTTTGTTGCAGTTTATTACACAACAAATTTCGATGACAGAAAAAAACGTCAGACTGACAGTTCTCAACTAAAATCAACACGTCTCTGAATTTTTCAGAGAAAATTTTCTCACCTGACAGGTAACCATAAGTAAAACGTTTTTTGGCAAAATTTCGTTTTAGATGAGGGCTTTCGAGTCTTGAACAATGTTTCACAAACCACCACCTACCGCTATTAGATCGGATAGTGTGCATTTTATCGAAAATTGTATCGCCGTCTCTGACCACTGCTACCCCGTCACTGGCCACACTTGGACCCACACAATTTATAAAAATTCTACCGGCACTCACCAAAATGGAAAAAATAGACACTACACATTCAATTTGATCACTTTTAAATAAATCACCACCAATTCTAACCGGATTTTCGACACTTTTTTGTAGACGACAAATTTCGATGACGGAAAAAAACGTCAGACTGACAGTTCTCAACTAAAATCAACACGTCTGTGGATTTTTCAGATAATATTTTCTCACCTGACAGGTAACCTTAAATAAAACGTTTTTTGGCAAAATTTCGTTTTAGATGAGGGCTTTCGAGTCTTGAACAATGTTTCACAAACCACCACCTACCAATTTTAAATAAGACATTATGAATTTTTATCGAAAATTGTATCGTCGTCACAAACCGTTGCTATCCCGTCACTGGCCACACTTGGACCCAACAATTTACTAAAAATTCAATCAGCACTCACCAAAACACAAAAAATAGACACTGCAGATCCAACTTGATCACTTTTAAATAAATCACGACCAATTATAACCGGAGTTTCGATACTTTTGTTGCTTTTTCGTAGACGATAAATTTCGATGACAGAAAAAAACGTCAGACTGACAGTTCTCAACAAAAATCAACACGTCTCTGGATTTTTCATAAAATATTTTCTCACCTGACAGGTAACCTTAAATAAAACGTTTTTTGGCGAAATTTCGTTTATATGAGGGCTTTCGAGTCTTGAACAATGTTTCACAAACCACCACCTACCAATTTTTAAATAAAATATTATACATTTTTATCGAAAATTGTATCGCCGTCTCTGGCCACACTTGGACCCACACAATTTATTAAAAATTCCATCGGCACTCACCAAATCACAAAAAATAGGCACTACACATTCAACTTGATCACTTTTAAATAAATCACCACCAATTCTAACCGATTTTCGACACTTTTTTGTAGACGACAAATTTCGATGACGGAAAAAAACGTCAGACTGACAGT